CCCAGCAGCGTGGCTTATTTCAGGATGCAGTAAAATTTTTATTACTGGAGATGTGAAAGCATCTACAGGGTAGACGAGCGTTTCTTAACTTTTTGGTGTTTTCGGCAACACGCAGAACTGTTCCAACAGTTTTGGTGGCACACGCGACAAGACTGGAGCGACGTTAGCAGGTCCGTGAGAGTGATGCAGCCACTCTCCAGTGCAGCAGTGACCTCAGAACACCCGTAGTTAACGTGCAGTTCCGTGCTGCCCTTCAGCACTGCCTTGCTGTTGGAGCAGAATGCTCAGCGTCTTGATCAAGCTCCTTTACACTCAGATGGCAGCATTCCTGTGTATTCCCATAGACGCACACAGCCTCTTTTCACTGCCCTGTGGAAGTTATACTGTTGCACCCACCAGAAGGAAGTTGTGCCCTGCTCTACCCTCTGCACAGGGTCATGTAAACTGGCAAGCTCAAAATCCAATCTGACAGGCGTCACAATCACTCTCCGTCAGTCATCTGTTGCCTACAACAGAATCCACTCTGCCTCCTATAAGCAGATGAGATTGGACAGTGATATGGGGAATTGAGTGCTTACAAAGTTGCTGGCAGGGCTGGACAGCAGACTCTAGTCTGCGAGCTCCCAGGAGCAGCTCCGCGCCCCCAGAACCACTATGGTCTTCAGAATAAGAAAGCTGCCACTTCATAACAAGAAACTAACCAATCCGGAAGCTGCTGCCACCTCCACTGACTGCAGAGCCACACTCCCGACTCTGCTCTGAGCCCCACAGCTGCCACTGCTGCCCCCAGAACCACGGCGGCTCTGTCATGACCTGCAAAAGCCAAATGACGCCCCGGATCCTCTCTCTGGATCTGCCTTGGCTCCGTTCCAAATCAGAGTCTCTCTTGGATGCATCCAATCTGTGGAATCTAAATCACGGCCAGACCTTGGAACTGCAAAGGAGGTTAGGCCAATTTACATTTTAGCTTTCCAAACTTTGCACACTGGAATGGGACTGAAATGGGACTGAGCAAGTTGTCCCACAGTATCTGCCACAAACAGCATCTTTCTGCAGTATAGCAAAGATAAACTAGACACATTGATCAAAAGCTGGGAGCGTACCAGGGAAGGTTCCTGTGTACTGGTGGGCTGCCGCATACCTGGCACGCCAATCTGTAGCTGCTTTAGTGGGCAAAGAGGTAAAAATGGGAAACCAAGCCTCTGGTAGACCCTTGAAGTCGGCTTTCTAACCTTAGTGATAGTGATTCCATGGTTTTAGCTCAACTGGAAGTTAGGACATAACTACCCATCTTACTCTTTATGGCCAGAGAGGAAAGTGTCTTCCAAAGAGCTTCCAGCCAGTATTTTCTAGTATCGTTGCCCTTGATCAGACCTGGTGGGGGAAAGTTGTTCTACAGGTGCATCGTCTGGTGTTCTCCGTGCACTTGCCAGTCTCACAAAGCATCTGGCCGTCAGAGACTGGCAAAGAAATCAAGCATGCCTCACAGTGGTCTGCCCAAAGCCACCGGTGACCTCATTCAAGAAGGGCCAAAGCAGCCTGACAGTCTCCCTATTACAAATGACTCTTTTCCTCACATTTTCGGCATTCACATAGTCACTTATCCACTCGACAGATATGTACTGAGCACTCTGTGTGCCAGGCACAGGGATCCACCAAGAACAGACCAGACGGGGCTCCCACTCCCATAGAGCTGACCTTCTAGTGGACGAGGGCCGACAATGCGCCACTAGAAAACTCGTAACTAGGGTGACTTCGATTGTGCTGAGTGCTACAGTGGAACAGGACGAGGAGTGACTGTGTGTGGGAGGGGACAGTTTAGATTCGGGGACAGAGGGAATTTGTCTTCCCACTGCCCCTTGCTGTACGGGGGACTGCTGCTCCCCTGGCTGCTGAGCCAGCTCAGACCCCAAAGCTGATCTCGGTTTGAAGATGGGCAAGAAGGATGATTTGCGCTTGGTTTAAGATCGTTTGCAGCCAACAGTCTGAGAAAGGAACAGTGTACAAGATCAAAACTGCAAGGGAGTGGGTATGCCTCCCAGAAGTTTCCCGTTCCTCGTAGAATTAGGAATTACGGCTGAAACTCGGTGATCAATGCTGCCTGCACCGAGGGAGAACGAGCAACATGGGAGGAGCCAGAACTGAGACCTTGCTGCCTTTTATGCCACTTTGCTTCATTCATGGGTCTACCTACCGGCGTTTGATTCGGCCTGTGTGCCACAGCTGTGTTCGTGGTCTGTTGCTCCCCATGTCGCTGGGCCTCAGCAGGCCTGGCTGGGCCACCACAGCTGCCAGGCCCCCTCTGGAGCTCTTGATGGTCGCGTGGCCATCAGCAGAGGGCTCACTGTGAAGGAGAGGGCTCCTGCCACTCGAAGGCTCAGGAGTCACAACAGAAGAGAAAACTGTAAACTGTGGCTTCTGAGGGCTGTCCCCAGTGTAATAACACCTGCCCCCTCCCCACCACACACACACACACACACACACACACACACGCGCGCGCACCCTACCCAAGAGATCCACTCCCGGATGCCAGGGTTTCCTCTCCTCGGGCCCCCTGCCCTCCCAGAAAGCACCTCCGCTCTGTGAATAAGCCTTCTGGCACATGCTGGCAGTTTATCCTGGAGCCTTGTGAAGTCTGTCTTATATTATTTGATCTTTTGTTTTGAGAGAGTTCTTGTTCTTTCTTGAGAAAACAAAGCTATTATATTGTTCATCTGCTCCGTTTAAAATCATCTGACCTGTGCTCTCCATCTGCCTTTGCAAACCTTATTTCCTAGGTCTGTGCTCATCTTCAAATCGAAGCAGCTCCGCCTGGGTCTGGGGTTGCCTATTAATAACATGGGTAGGTTCACCTTGACCCCCTTCCCTTTTATCTGAGCAACCGCAAAGCTTCTCTTTCGGAGCTGGAGCTACAGCTCTGGTCTTGACGCTTCTCGGGAGGCGAGAAGGTACAGAGGCTGTGGGAACGTGCCATCTGTTTTGACTCTCTCCCCAGGCTTTCCCTGCCATCTGCAGAGTCCCCTGTGCCTGTGGTGTGGGTGACCCTATGGCAGGATTTCCCTTGAATTTTCAGCACCCCCGCACACATACACACACACATACTTCAGGGCAAACAGGTCCCTCCAAAGAGGGCCGGGTCAGTGTGATTTCCCAATTCATGGGCCTTCTTTTCGTGGATTCGTATATGCTTTTGGTTAATATCATTCAGGAGGTTCAGATGGCGGCTCAGATGTACTTTTTCTTCTCTTCTTCAGCCTTTCTCAGACTAGGCCTCCCTCCGTATCCGAGAGCGGGGGCAGTGGGGAAAGAGAGAGCAGAATGCTTCTGCCCCGCCCTGCCCCTGCCCGCAGTGCTCACGCTCCAGAGGCGCACTGCGAGGCCTCGAGAGCGCCCTGTCCTTTCCCTCGCGGTCTGTTAGAGGTAGGCTCGGTGTTTGCTTTCGGTTTGTCCATACTCTATGTATACACAGATCTTCAGGGTTAGAGCATGGAGTTCGGCCATTTTCGTGTTTCAGTAAGTTTCTCCAAACGTTGGGCTGCTTTTGCCTATTCCCATGAGTTCTGAGGAGTTGTGCAAATGAGCACTTACCCTGCCATCTTTCCAAGGGGTTCTTCAACTGCTGAATATTTCATATAGTGAGGCAATAAAGATAAAATATGTCAGAAGATTAGAGGAATGTTCATTTTTTAAATTAGGAAGTTAAGACTAGGAAAGATAACAGAAATGAGAAAAAGGGTTAAAGTTAACAGCGATGAGACAGAACCTGAACAGTTAGAAAATGAAGCTAAAGAATTCGATGAAGTATAAAAAAGAATTAAGAAACTAGGGGTAAAGTTATGGGGAAAAGATAAAATTAAATAGAAAGGTTGAAAAGAACTAGCATTTAAGTGTTTTTAAACAAAATTTAAAGATTAAAGGGCTAGAAAACAACATACTAAGACAATGAAATAATCTTAGTGGTTCAAGATTAAAATAAACTGAAAGACAGAATGTAAGCTGTCAGAGGGGAACAGGGTTGGAGAACTGGGTGAAAAGGTGAAGGGATTAAGAAAAAAATCTAAGACAAAGAGAACAGTATGGTGATTACCAGAGGGAAAGGGAGACAGGAAAGGGGGGATAAACGGTGATGGAAGGAGGCTTCACTTGGGGTGGTGAACACATAGTACAGCATATGGATGATGGTTTATAGAATCATACGCTTGAAACCTGTATCATTTTATTAACTAATGTCATCCCAATAAATTCAATAAAAAAATTAAAAAGACATTATAAAGAGTCCCTTTTGATCAAAGTGTTATCTAAGGGTGCTTTTTATTTTTCTGTTTCTAAGTCACTGGGTTTTGTTTGCGTGTCTGTCTGTGGCCAGAGAAAGGAGCAGGCAGACTTCAGGGATGCACCTCTCAGTGTATTCCCACGAGCGATCCATGCAATGATTCAGCAAGTGTCCACTGCCTACGTGCCTCGTGCCATTCCTCCTGCAATGTGGGTTTGGGCCTCTTTGTCTAAGTGCTGTTGCCAGTGTAAGCCCTCTCATGGTTTTTCTTGGAAAATTTAATAGGAAATTAGGAGACAATCTAAGCTCCCCTAGACTAACACAGTGATGGCCATGAAGCTCCACCATAGTTCTTCCCCAAAAGCACTCTGGATGTAGCTGCCTCCCACTGGGAGAGTGTTGCCTTTTCCTGAGTAAGGGTGTGGTGCTTTAAATGCTCACTGTCCTTTTCCTGGAGACCCCCTGATTGACATTGTGGGTGGATGACCACTCAAGGCCGAGGGGCGCAGTAGGATTCGGCCGGGCCTGCCTCTCCCCAGCATGCTCCTGCAGTAAGGGCGTGGTGAAGTCTTGGTGGGCCACCTGCGCCTTGTGAGGGCCTTGGCGTCCCGCCCAGAACTTACTAATGGGGCTGGCCTCTGGGCAGGAGACCAGCATCGGGCAGCGGTGGGCCTGTCATTCCCCTTCTCCGTTCTCAGTGCCTTTCCCAACTCCTTCAGCGCAGCGCTTCAGCCTCCAGGCCCGCCGATGGATCCACTGCCAAAGGGGTCCTGTGGGGGTCAGGCCGCACAGACCCTCCTGTGGAAAGCAAAATCGTCTCTCTCCTTTCGCATCCAGCCCCTTCAGACATGGCCAACAAAAGACCCTGAAGTCGAGTCCCAGGTCAACCTGTAAGTAAGTAAAAGAAGCATCATCTGTTAGTGCTCGCGCTCACTGGAACTTGAAATCCCTCAATGCTTGGGAAGAAAATTACCCTTTGGGAGGAGCATAGGGAGGGAGAAGGAGTGGGTATTGGGTTGGGATATCTCATTTTGTTCTTAATGATGTCTTATTCATGTGTTTATTTGTTTACTTAGCAATATCCATTGAGCACCTACTCAGCCAGGCCCCACATCAGCATAGTGAGCAAAACAGATTCACTTCCTGTGTTCGGGGGATTTACAGCTCATGGGACCGATAGCCACTAATCGAATAACCACACAAATCAATGCTAACTATTTGTGATTAGTTCTATGAAATGTGTTGCCTTGGTTTAGTAAACAGTTACAGAATGCTATCTATGTGCCAGCAACATACTGGGAATATAAGAGAATAAAAGATTTCCTTACCCTTGAATATCAAGTAGTATCTGGGAGAGGGAATCCAATATTATTCAGAAGAAATGGTAATAACTATACTGTAACTAATACAGGCATAGATTCCAAGCCCTATAGGGTGGCAGCCGTGTTTTCCTGTTTACCCCCGATCCCCAGGGCTTTGCTATGGTGTGCAGTAATATTTGCTGGAGGGATGGATGAGTCAATGATTGAAGTAGGTAGTGCAAGACAGGGCGCTGAGCTCTCCAGGGCAGTCAGAGGCAACTAGGTGCGACGATAGGATTGACTTAAAAGCAAATGAGATGCTTCATCAATTCAACACAACAAATATTTACCGATGCTCACAGTACCCAGTGCTTCTGTGAAGCTAATCCTTACCAGGGGCATGGATCACAATCGCTTGTAGGGCTTAAGAAACAGCTGATGCCTGAGGCCCAGCCCCAGAGATTCTGAGTCAGTGGTTCTGGAGTGGGTAAGAGAGGACTCTTCTCAACTCTTCTTCTCAGGGAACTTACAGCCTTTCCAGGGGGACATAAGTACCCAAATAATTCCAGTGCCGCTAGGAAAGAAGCCTGTATCCACTGCTGTAGGAGTAAGTAATCACTGGAGGACAGAGCAGGAAAGCGGTAGCAGTTGAGCTTAACCAGGCAGATGAGCATCGCCAGGCAGGAAAGGGCAAAGAAGGCCACTTTAAACAGAGGAAAATGCAGAGCTAAGCCTCAGATCCATGAGAGGATGTTCCCACAGAGTTGATAGGCATTAAACAAGTGGTTCTCAACCCCAGCTGCACATGAGAGTCCCCCTGGGAGCTTTAAAAACATACAGAAGCCTGCACCATCCCTCCAGGATTCCAAGGTCGAGGGTGGGATACAAATACCAATATTTTATAAAACTCCCAGGTGATTTGTATGTGCAGCAAATGTTGAGAAAGGCTGTTTTAAAACATGTGAATGCACATAAATTGATAAAAAAAAAAGTTACAAAGCACCTTATAACACTAAGAGGTCGGAACTTTGTATCTTAGGCAGTGGGGAGCCATTGATAGCTTTTATGATGTTAAAAGATAATGCAGTTTGAAATAGACAAGGTTCCCGAAGTTGGGGTAAATTTCTAATTGCTAGTTCTATCGTGGATTCTTCAGGGAAACTAGGGTAAGCCTAGAGTCACCACTGTCTTTTCAGAGCTACCACCATACTTTCCAGAAATGGCCCCTTAGGTCAGTTTATGAGACTATGGGTAATGAATGTTTCCTTGATTTTAAACAAATCTCAAATTCCAGTGAATACTGAATTTTCTGAGAATGCTCCTGTTTTTTGTAGGCCACTGGTAACCAGAGTCCTGGGCAGCCTTGGCACGCTGCAAGGGAGAGAAGGGGTGCCAGGGCTCTATATACCAAAGGTGGGGTATGGAGAAGAGGCGCTCTCCCTTCCTCTGAGCACCATAGTTCTCATAGTGGTCCAGCCCCCACCACTGCTTCTCTAGACTACCAGCCCCACAATGCATTGCGCGGATGACGAGCTCAAAGGGGCGGGCAGAACTGTAGCAGAGCCTATGAGAAGCAGCAGAAGCAGCCCCAGGTGGTGCATTCTGAGCCCTATTGGTGAATCTGGTTAGGGGCAGGACTGCCCTTGTGATCGGTGGCTGCCAATGTTGGGTTCTCTGGAAACCGTGCTAGAAGGATGACTTTAAGAACTGCCATTCTGTGGGCCACTCATTCATTAACTCATTCATTGAACAAATATTTATTGATTGTTTGCATATCAGGCGCCTGTGCAAACAACCTAAATGTGTTTGCTTATTTAGTCTTCACAAAATAACCCGATGAGGTAGCTACTGTTAGCTTCGTTTTACAGATAAGGAAGCTGGAGTCCAAAACGGGTTAAGAGATTTGTTCAGGATCTGGCTGCCCACAGAGCTGTGTGTTATCTCCTCTCCTCTTTCCATGTAGAAAACACACCTGAGTCTTTCAGAGACAGATGTGGAGGCACATCTGCCTTGGTCTCCCCTATTGGAGATTGACAGTGGAGGCTGACACAGCAATTCCCCTGGCACCATGCAGGCAAGTGTCTGCCCCTCTACAGAGCAGACTCCCCCACCATGGTCTGTTCCAGGTCTAAGCTTGGGGCCTGGGGACTGGTTGGAAGTGCATTTGGCTCTTAGGCTCAGTTTGCTAATGAAACTCTGACAGTAAAGAAATTTATATTTTGATTTCCATATGCCCAACTACTGTCACTAATTCCCAATCGATTCCAACACAGAGACAGGAGTGGTTTGATTTATTGATAAGCTCCCAAAGCTCCAACAACTGTGAGACAGGCAGGGATCTGTGTGGGTCTGGTTAGGAGAGGTTTGTTTGGATTTGTTGGTTCTGATTATCCTGTTCTACCCTGTCTTAACATAGTATCTGGCATGTAGAAAGCGCTCACTAAATATATTTGTTGGGTGCAAGGTAAGGGTAATAGAGCAGAGATGCCAGGGTAATAGAGCAGAGATACTCCATGGAATACTATGTGGCCATAGGAAAGAATATGGGAGCTTTTTGGTACTGAGTTTGAAACATCACCAAGATACATGAAATTAAAAAATAACAAAAACAAGGAGTGGAATTGTGTATGGTTTGCTGCCCTTTGTGTAAAGAAAAGGGGGGAGGGGATATATATTTCTCTCTCTCTCTTTGTAAGTGCACCCAGCACCTCTGGGAGATACGCAATAAATAATCCAAGTTGATGGTGGTGACAGGAACTGAGGGGCTGAGAGGGCGGGAGAGGGGAGGGTTTGCCCTGTACAAACCTTTTGGCTTGAACCAAGTGGGTGTGTTATCTCTTCAAAGAATGAAATACAAATACACAGGTACAAACCTTCAACTTTTGAAAGCAGTACTGTGCAGGCAGCAGTAACGGCCCGGTGACTGATTAGATGTTGGATGTGAGAGAACACAGAGATGACTCTGGACTCAGTACCTTGAGTGACATGAATGCAGCAGTGGGAGCGAGTGTGACTTGGGCCAGGTCATGTTTTAGGGGCTGCTTGGGTGTCCATGGAACTATGTCTAGCAGCTAGAGGTCTGAGTTTGCAGTTGTACAGAAAGAGCCAAGTTGGAGATTTGTTTTGGAGAGTCGTTAGCACAGAGGTGCAGGAACAGTGAGGTCCCCAGGGAAGGAGGTGGCCTGATTGAAGGGAGAGGAATGTAGATCTTCACCATGCAAGGGTGACGTGGAGTTACAGAGGAGGAGTATGGCCTCACTCTGCCAGGACACCCTGGCTCTTTGCTGGGAACAGAAGCTGCAAATGCCCTACTCCCCACTGAGCTCAACATCCCCTGGAGGGATAGCTGCTAAAAGCAATAATTTTTCCTCCAGGAGGTTATGCCATTACTAAGAATTGTATTCCTTTGACGACTCAAGTTTCTATTCTTTCAAATTTTACAGTCCTTATGGGCCAGCAACCCATTTTTGGTGCTCACCCCATCTCAAAGTACAGTACAGAACATCATAAGGACATACTATAAATAGCGACAAGATATTATTACTCTTTTAATCATGGCTTTTAAGAGACAAAAAGAATTGGTTCAGTCTCTCCTGCCCTAAATTCACATCAGCCAACACTCATTTTTATAAACCTCATTTTGGCCGTGGAGACAGGCTGGCTGTTTCTTGTCATGCCCTCTAGTAAGAAATGCTCTTACTTAAAGTACTTTGCCTCCTATATTTCTATGTTTGGTTTACCTATTATTTCGCTTTCTTTAAAGAGCACCCCCCTCCTCTTCCCTCATCACTCTCCCTCACCCATGGTTTCATAGTCTCATTTTCTTAGACTATCTCAGAATCAGAGTAGCTGAGTGAAGTAAAAATTTCAGAAAATCTTTCAAAAATATAGTTTGACCTTAAAAGCACTGAGTAAGCTGCTTTTCTTCTACTACGTGCTCTGAATGTGCTTGGAGGGAAACAGCACAGATAAGCATGGAGTGGATCTAAATTGGTCCAAAAAATTATAATACAGTACAGAAATCATTAAAAAGTAGCCCTGGCCAGTGTGGCTAAGTGGTTAGAGTGCCAGCTTGTGCACTGAAGGGCCGAGGGTTCAATTCCCGGTCAAGGACGCAAACCTGGGTTGCATGTTCAGTCTCTGATCCTAGTCGGTGCACACTGGGGAGGGAACCAATCCATGTGTCTCACATAGATGTTCCCCCCCTTTCTCTCTCCCTCCCTCTCCCTCCCTCCCTTCCACTCTCTCTAAAAATCAATGGAAAAAATATCCTTGGGTGAGGGTTAACAAAAAATAAAAATAAAAAGTAGCTTGAGTCTTCCCTCTCTCCTGGGTTACCTCAAGGCAAAATTCAGTCAGTTCCATAAGCATTTATTTTTATGTTTGAGACTAAGAATTTTTCACATATTGGTACTGGCTATGAAGGGGATCAGAATATGCCACCTAAAAAGTGCCACTTTGGCCTAAGGATTATTTTGAGCTGAAGGCAATTGATTAAAAAGCAGACACAGGACGGCATCTTTGTCCTTCCCCTATCTGCCAAAGAGCAGGGCAGAAATTTCCTTTCGTAAAGGTGCCCTCTCCCCTCT